ACATAGTGGAAAATTGTACTCCTCGGACTTCTGTACAATTTGCCGAAGGGTATGTATATGGTCTATGGTGCTAAAGCCTTTTCGGAAACCGGCTTGTTCGGGAGGCTGGAAGTCGTCAAGTCTGCGCGCGAGACGATTCGTAATGACTCTCGAAAACAGCACGTAGACGCGGCTCAGAAGGGAAATCGGTCTGCAGTTCTTCAAGAGAGCGTTGTTACCTTTCTTGAAGAACAAGACCACCGCACTTCTGCTCCACGCCTCCGGTGTAATGCCACCATGGAGGACGGAATTAAAGAGCTTCTGAAGGACTTCAAGTACCGTTTTTCCACCCGCTTTCAGAAGCTCCGCTGTAATTCCATCCTCGCCTGGGGCCTTGCCGTTTTTAAGGTGCTGGAGAGCCATTCTAATCTCGCTCAGACTGACGTCCGGGATATCATCGGAATAATGTCGGATAAGACTCGCTCTTGGATCGTTACTCACACTTGCGTGCGGCTCCAACGATGACGTGTACAGCTGCCCATAGAACCTCTCAATCTCACTCAAAATCTCAGGTGCCCCGGAAACGATGCTGCCACATTCTGTCTTCAGCTTTGACAGTTGGCGCTTTCTGGCAGACAGATCTCTGGCAAAGACTTTGGAGCCTCGGTTCCGCTCGATCGCTTCTTCAATATGAGCTGTATTGAATTTGCGTAAGTCCCGCCGCATGCATTTGGAGATCTGTCTGTTCAGTTGCCTGTATGCTGTTAAATCTGTTGAAGAATGTAGCTTCATCTCCCATCTAACAGCCATGAGATTAAGAGTGTGATCGGAGAGTTTTTGTGTTCTTCTGCGGCGGGTCTTGCAGAACTTAGCTCCGACCGCATGGACAGTTTCCACGAGCTTGTCATTCAAATCGTCCACTTCATTGCAGTCTTCTAGGCACTGAAAACGGTTTTGTAACTCGAGCTGAAAGGTTTCGGGACTTTGTATTAGAGCACGAGGGGGACGTAGCGTTGACTTCATTAGACGAGACCTCTACAACTTAACGTTTAGGTTCAGTGTGCCTCTAACCATTCGGTGATCGCTGCCGGTTTTCACCCTCGCGATCACTGAGACATCACTGAACAGTTATCATCTGGTCGTCATAATGAAGTCAATCTCATTTTTTGTCGAACCGTCGGGGCTCGACCAGGTCCACTTCCTGTGGGACCGCTTCTGGAAGAAAGAGTTCATCATAAAGAGTCCCTCTTTCTCCATGAAGTCGGCCAGCTGCTGGCCCCTTGGGTTCCGTTGCCCTATTCCAAATTTCCCTACTTTCAGCTCACCGTTCTCTTTTGTGCCTAGTTTTGCATTGAAGTCTCCCATTAACACCGTATATTGGGTTTTGGAGGAATGCATGGCTCTAGAGATATCCTCATACATTTCCTCCACCTCCTGATCGGGGTGTGCCGAGGTTGGTGCGTAAACCTGTATGACCTTCAGCGAATACCGTTTGGTGATTCTGAGTATAAGGTACGCAACCCTCGTCGACACACTCTCAATCTTTACAACGTTGTTAACGAGAGACTTGTGGACGATAAATCCGACACCTCCTTGGGACAGATGGTCGCCCTCCCGGTAATAGAGCAAGTTGCCGGATTCGAGGATTACCGTGTCCTCCCCCTCTCTTCGGACTTCGGATAATCCTATAATATGCCAGCGTAACTTGTCTATCTCTTCTTCCAGCTCCACAATCTTCTCGTCAGTCCTCAGGGTGCGTGCGTTGTATGTTGCCAGGTCGAGTCGTCGTAGGTGGCAACCGAACCTCCACTGGAGATTCTTAGCACCCCCTGCCCCGCCGTTACTATGGTCGCCACCGTAGCCAGGAATAGCGGGGCCGCCGGGGACTGGGAGCCGTTTATTATTGTCATTGCTCATGGGGAGTATATTGCCATAGTTGCCACGCTTGGCGAGCGGGTTGGCAACCGCAGTTTTTTTTATTGTTATTTTGGCTATTATCAGGAATATGCTGCTGCCCCTCTCCTGCCTGTTTCCCTTTGTCGCCTTTTACGACACCCACGAAGATGGGGTAGTCGATATTCTTAACCGCCACTACACGGCATGTCTACTAATTATTAATTATTGTTTGTTTCTTTACGATTTTTCCCTTCAACTTTGGAGGTGAAGATTAGACGATTGCAATTTCATGTGTTGATTACCACGTGCTTGGGCACATGAAATTGCAATCTAAGATTTCGTTGGTGCCGGTGGGAATCGAACCAGAGATGCTTGCGTACTGAGAAATTTGTGATAAGCTCTTCACTCTCCTGAGGTACTAAGGTCCGTAGATTAATATAATTAATAGAATCAGGCGTTACTTTGCGGAAATACATTATATAAAAGCTTTTGAAATATTACTTTGTAAACATCCGCTATATAAGTATGAAGAGCACCTCCCGCTCTTCCTCAATTGCGTGCACTATCCCCGTCACGACTAATCCCAGCACCACTACACTAGGAAAGGCACACAAGAGCCAAAACAACTGTTATTTATATAGAATACTCGTATTATCCAACAGATGAGTTGTCCCTTTTACATAAAGGCCTAAAGTTTAATTCAACACCTTCGGTCTCCCAAAAATCGTTAGAGACTATGGCTGTTACGCGGAGATGGCTGTTGTGATCGGAAAGAAAGATAACATCGTTTAAAGTTTGGTAGCTAATGAAATTCGGGCTGTGCCCGCGTCTTCCCATTTCAATCCTGAGTTCCCTGTTTTTAAGTCCCTAAAGCAGAGAATAAGGGAAAACGACCTTATTGTTACTAAAGCTGATAAATGCAATACTATTGTTATTATGAAGAGTAGTGGTTACAGCCAGAAAGTTAGCGATGTTATCCAAGGTGATGACTTTGAGCTATTGGAGTCTGACCCAACCAAAAAGATTAGTTCGGATATTAAGTTATATAAACAACAGTTATCATATTGTTACGAGCTTGGGGTTCGAGACAATTAAAAACTGCCGATTGAATTACCAAAATTGACACTTTAATTACACAACACTAATTACAATCTAAAATCTCACTAATAATAAAACACAGTTCGCCGTTGTTTCGCTTCGAAGTATTCTCTTGTATCGCTAATTCAATACTGCCCTGGTCGTGGCCCATACCGGCCTTATATAGGGCCTCAGACAGTTTCCAGAACCTTCCACTGTAGCGACATCTAGAATGTTCGAGTACATATCGGTCCCGAAATTTCTGGAAGGATCTCGACTCTCCTAGTTCTGCTACTCGACACTAGAGGGCGCTAGTGTAACTAGTGTTGCCATGTACAAGACATTAATAGTGGCGCGCAATACTTTCTTTTACTCGACACTAGAGGGCGCTAGTGTAACTAGTGTTGCCATGTACAAGACATTAATAGTGGCGCGTAACACTGCCCCTGCTCTCGTCTGCACTGACATGCTCGTCCCGAGCATTATTGGCTCCATAATAACGCGCCAGTCGATCCACATGGACAATCTTAGGAGTACCTCTGACACCTTTCTGTATCCGGTAGGTTACGTCATTGATCCTTGTCACAATCGGGTACGGTCCGTCCCATTTACCTTGAAGCTTAGGAGATTTCCCTTTGCTGCGAACTGGATTGTGTAACCACACTAGTGAACCTTCATCAAACCCCTTGTTGTTCATTTTGCGGTCATACCGTGTTTTCATCTTCTCAGACGTTTGCTGGCCCGTTTGTCTGACGTGCTCATAAATGTCATTCATTTTGTTCCGCAAGTCATTTGCATAATCGGTTATACTGCGTGGGGCATCAGGTGGTATTCTGGTGATCAGGTCTGCAGGCAGCCGCAATTCTCTCCCAAAGTTTGCGAAAGCTGGTGTCACTGATGTACTTTCGTGAACAGCGCTTCGATATGACAACAAAAACGGTTGTATGTGCCTGTCCCAGTCTCGTTGCCGTTTTTCCACAACTTTTGCTAGGTACTTCCCCAATGTCTGATTAAATCTTTCTACCATTCCATCAGATTGTGGGTGGTAAGAAGTTGTTCGTGTTTTATGAGTACCCATAACTCTGCAAGTTTCCTGGAATATTTGAGACTCGAAATTCCTTCCTTGATCGCTGTGAATCTCTAAAGGTACTCCAAAACGACAGAAGACTTCATGAACTAGTTTATCTGCAATTGTTGAAGCTTCTTGATTTGGAATGGCGAACACTTCTGGCCACTTAGTGAAGTAATCCATCATCATTATCATCATCATCATTACAGCCCTTCACAAGTCCACTGCTGAACATAGGCCTCCCCCAAAGAATGCCACAGAGCACGGTCCTGAGCCACCTGCATCCATCGACTTCCTGCATGTCTTACCAGGTCGTCACTCCATCTCGTGGGGGGACGCCCTACACTTCGCCTACCGGTACGAGGCTGCCACTCGAGAACCTTTCTTCCCCATCGGTTGTCGGTTCTTCGAGCTATATGGCCGGCCCACTGCCACTTCAGCTTACTAATCCGTAAGTAATCCATCACAACCATGAAATACTTTCACTTTCCGGAAACGGCCCCGCAACGTCAATGGCTATCCTCTCCCATGGTGCACCAACATTGTACAATTTCAATGCGCCTCTACTACGAATTTGAGGTCCCTTTACAGCCGCACAACTTGTACATTTGCGGCACCAGTCCTCGACATCGTCACGACAGTGGACCCAGTAAAACCGTTCTCGGATTTTCAGTAGAGTTCGTTTAACTCCCAGGTGGCCTCCTGAACAACCACTATGGTACAGCTGTAGAACATCCGGTACTTTAGCCTTAGGGACAACCATTTGCAAATGACAACTGTCTCCCCGACCATTTTCCCATTTACGGAACAGGACTCCATCCTGAATCAGCAAGCTGTCCCATTGGGCCCAATAGCTTTTCGTGGTCGAACTCATTGCTGAGACGTCGCTCCACTTGGGCTTAGGAGCACTGGCCTTCATCCATTCCAGAATCGACCTAATGTCCGAATCTTCCTGCTGTGCATGTTGTAAGCTGTCCTTTCACTCATTGCTGAGCTGGTCTGTCCTGAGCACTCTCACAGATACCACTTCCTTACCCTCTTGCCTAGTACAATGCTTGCAATCTTCAGGGCAAGGTCTTCTTGACAATGCATCTGCATTGCCATGAGATTTCCCGCTGCTATGTTCGATCACAAAGTCGTATTCCTGCAGTAGTTCAATCCATCTCGCAACTTGTCCTTCCGGATTTTTGAACTGCAATAGCCATTTCAGTGCAGCATGGTCAGTTCGTAAGTGGAATTTCCGCCCTAGAAGATATTTGCTAAAATGCTGCAAGGACTTTAACACAGCAAGCAATTCCCGTCTTGTGACACAATAGTTCCTTTCCGGCTTTGACAACGACTTGCTGAAGTACGCTATCACAATCTCTTGATCACCATTCCGTTGAGACAACACACCGCCAAGTCCTATATCACTTGCGTCTGTGTCAACTATGAATTCCTTGCCCGCATCAGGGTACCCCAAAATAGGTGTTTTGCACAGACGATTCTTGAGCTCCTGGAATGCAATATTCCAACTTTCATCCCAGCAGAAATGTCGCTTTTCCTCGGTTAGCTTGTGCAGAGGTTTGGCTATATCTGCAAAGTTCTTCACAAATCGCCGATAATAAGAACACAAACCCAAAAATGCTCTAACCTGTGTCTTGTCTTTTGGGACCGGCCACTCCTTGACAGCAGCAATTTTCTCTGGATCCGTGCGGATACCTTCTTCCGACACTACATACCCCAAAAAACTAACTTGCCGTTTGAATAGTGAGCACTTCTTTGGACTCAACTTGAGTTTGGCACTCTGGATCTTCATGAGCACGCGTTCCAGGTTTTGAAGGTGTTCCTCAAACGTACGGCCTACGATGATGATGTCATCCAAATAGACGAGACAGGCATCTCCAATTAGCCCGGTAAGTACAAGCTCCATCAACCTTTCAAACGTTGCTGGAGCATTGCACAATCCAAACGGCATGACTTTAAATTGCCACAGACCCTTTCCTGTGGAGAATGCAGTTTTCTCCTTGTCCTTAGGGTCAATTTCAACCTGCCAGTAGCCACTCTTTAGATCCAGCGTACTAAACCACTTTACGCCTGTAAGCATGTCCAGCGTGTCATCAATTCTTGGCAAGGGATAGCTGTCCTTCTTTGTAACGTCGTTCAGGCGGCGGTAGTCAACACAAAACCGCATGCTACCGTCCTTCTTCTTTACCAGCACCACAGGTGAACACCATGGACTAGATGAAGGTTCAATAACACCATCCTTCACCATTCCCTCAATCATGGTTTCCACTTCCTTTTCACGTGATACAGGCAATCTTCTTGGCCGCTGACGAATAGGCAATTCTTGTCCTGTGTTTATTTTGTGTTGAACTAAGCCAGTCTTTCCTATGTCAGCTTCGTTTGACGAGAAAACATTGGCGTACTTGAGTAACAACTTCTTCGCCTTGACCATTTCATTCGGGGAAAGAACGCTGCGACAGTCTTCTAAAAGTGTGGTCACTCTCAGCTGTCCATCCTTGCTGGGGGTCCCGGTTGATAGATATTCGTACCGACGCAACCAATCCACTTCCTCACTAGTACCAACCAATGTGCCTTTTTTATAATATGTTCCTGATCACAAAGGTTCAGCACACGTACTCCTGAGATGTCGGCGGTTCTGACCAAGGTTCCAGCCACTTTCCATGGAAGGTCATTGTCTACCCTTTCCACGAGTACACAACGAAGAGTTTGCCCAGGATTCCGTGGAAGTCTAACCGGCACAATTGTTTCCGATCTCGGCGGAAGAACAATCTTCTTAAGGCTGTACATATTCCCTGGTAACGCCCCTTCCACGAAAAGTTCCTCGTGTCCACATTTCAAAACACCTTGCTTAACGTCGATCTCACAACAATTCTTCCTCATAAAGTCTAGGCCCAGGATGCAGTCGTCCATTATATCAGCCACGATGACATTATGCAGGTAGATCATGTTGCCTAGCTTCAACTCCATCTCCTTCTCTCCTCGGACGGGTATGCGCTGACCAGTGGCTGTCACCAAATTAATGCGTTCGCGGTTGTATGCGGAGTCCCCAAGGAACCGAATTATAAGTTGGGAACTGACAACCGTGCGAGAGGCTCCAGTGTCTATGGTCAGTTTACACGGCGTTCCATTGACTTCGCTCTTGATGATTAGGCTGTTCCCATCATGGGTTTGTGAGATCGAAATCCTTGGGGCTCTTTTAACATCAGCCAGCACCCGCCCCGCAGTCCTGGCTTTTACTCGTTTCCCTGCTGCTGCTGGGCGGTGCTATTATCCGCACTACCCTCTCGAGCTCGATCACCTTCCCTTTCTACAGTTTGTTTAGGGCAGCTGGATCGAAGATGGCCCCTTTCCCCACAGCCGTAGCACCTAGGGCTGTAGCCCTTATTGCGGTCCTGAACTGTAGCTGCTGCAACCTCCCTGACGCGGTGGGAACGATGATCCTGCCGCACGGCTTCCACCTCCAGTGCATGGGTCAAGGCGTCCTTAAGCGTCTCGTGGTGCCCGAGCCTCACAGCAGCTCTGACTTCAAGGTCGCGGATGCCGTCGATGAATGTCTGCACCAGGTTCCCTACAATGAGCGCAGGTACAGACTGGTACGCTTTTCGAACCAGCTTCTCCACCTCAAGGGCCCACTGCTGCAGGTTTTCGTTACTGCGTTCCACGCGATCTTTGAGCTGCGCACGAAAGACGTGTTCCAGGTGAGCATCGCCATATCTCGCCTCCAATGCCTCAAGGAGCTGCTCGTAAGTCACTTCCTTACCGAGAGCTTCCAGAACAGTTAAGGCCTGGTCGCGTAGGCCTAGGGTGAGAGCAGTCATGGCCTGACTTTTATTCCAGCCGTTCGCTTTCATGACAGCCTCGAACTGGATTTTGTAGGCCGACCAGGAATAACTCCCATCGAACGGCGGCACTTTGAATCCACGTAGCGAAGGTGTTGTAGCTACCACGGGAACTATAATTCCATCGCCAAGTTTGAGGTCGTCCAACGTTTTCTTCACATCAGCCATCACGTTGTCAACCCGATTGTTCACTTGGTCGATTCGGGTTTCAGCTTCCGTCAGGCGGTTGTCATGTTGAGCAACCCTATCCTTCACCTCCTTTATCTCTTTCCCGAAGGTAGCGTAAAGGTCCTTCCTGAGGAGCATCTGTTCTTCAATACCGCGCTGCAGCTGCTCTTCCAACCGACGGGTCTGTTCCTCCTGTCGGCGGGCCTGTTCCTCCTGTCGGCGAGCCTGTTTCTCCTGTCGGCGAGCCTGTTCCTCCTGTCGACGAGCCTGTTCCTCCTGTCGGCGAGCCTGATCCTGCAGCATCATCATCAGAGCACCTAAGTCAGGTGCTGCAGATGCAGGAGCTGCTGACGGGCCGGCCTCCGCGGTTAGCAGCTGCCCCTCCGACGTTTGTGGCGTTGCATTACCAAATCGTCTCTGGTCCGTCTCCTGTTGGCGTTGACTTCGGGTACGGATATCCTCCGTGTCGTCTTTAGGTAAAATCGGCATATTTGATCCCACTTCTGACACCAATTGTTACGAGCTTGGGGTTCGAGACAATTAAAAACTGCCGATTAAATTACCAAAAATTGACACTTTAATTACACAACACTAATTACAATCTAAAATCACACTAATAATAAAACACAGTTCGCCGTTATTTCGCTTCGAAGTATTCTCTTGTATCGCTAATTCAATACTGCCCTGGTCGTGGCCCATACCGGCCTTATATAGGGCCTCAGACAGTTTCCAGAACCTTCCACTGTAGCGACATCTAGAATGTTCGAGTACATATCGGTCCCGAAATTTCTGGAAGGATCTCGACTCTCCTAGTTCTGCTACTCGACACTAGAGGGCGCTAGTGTAACTAGTGTTGCCATGTACAAGACATTAATAGTGGCGCGCAATACTTTCTTTTACTCGACACTAGAGGGCGCTAGTGTAACTAGTGTTGCCATGTACAAGACATTAATAGTGGCGCGTAACAATATGTTCTTCCCGATCACAATTTGCCTCGGAGTAGTATTGTTCCAATGATACCTCAAGCACACATTTTATATGGGTTACCAAAAATACGAGTACATAAAGAACATGTCCCTATTCGTCCAGTTGTCTCATATATGGGTGTACCAGCTTATTTCCTTGCTAAAAAAATAAACTTCCTCCTTCGAGAGAAATCTAGATTCAACCCCACTTCCAGCCTATAAAATGGCATAGATCTTTCGTTTTCGTTTTATCTTCACGCACAATCCCTGAGGGGGTAGCCAGAGAGAACAGATCGCCAAGTGTCACGATCCTTACATACCTCTTTCGCTTCTTTCAGATTCATTATCTTCTTCATACATGCACGTCTAGGTATCCGAGTACTCTTGACCCTCCCCTCTTCGAACAATTTGCTCACATGGTCTTCGAAAGTTAATCTCGGTCTACCTCGACACCTTTTAATATTTACTTTCGCGCTATATATTTTCTTCACCATTCGGTCTTCACTCATTCGCTCAACGTGCCCAAACCATAGAAGCACGCCCTTATCAATTTTTGTGATAAGGTCATCTTTCAAACCTGCCATATTGCGAATATCTTCGTTTCGCTTTCGGTCGGCCATGGTGACGCCGCACATTTTACGAAGAGATCGCATCTCCACTGCATTCAACTTGCTTTTATGCTTCTTCTGGCATACCCAGGTTTCGATGCCATATAACAAAGTCGGTACCAACACTGCGTTATGTACTTATGTATACACTTCGCTACGCCTTGCCTTTTGACTAACACAGTCAGGGCACCATTGACTTTGTTCCCGGCAGCGACACGCCTGTCCACATCCAAATCACATCTTCCATCCCGGCTAAAAGCACTCCCTAAGTATACAATTTCATTTACCTGTTCTAGACATTCCTGATTTACCCATATATCACACTTCGTAAACCTTAGTTTTATTAGCATTCAAACGGAGACCCTTAATTTCACATTCCTCATTCATACACGTGATTAATGCCTGAAGTTCTGCCTCTGATGGTGCAATAAGCACTGCATCATCAGCAGATCTTAGATCTCATTTCCAAAATTAAAGATATTCGCATTCCTCCTACATCCATATTGTTATCTTTAGACGTTGATAGTCTTTTCACAAATGTCCCATCCCCTGGTTGTTTGCGTATACTCGCAGATCTCTTTGAAAAACGTCGTCTACATCCCGGGGAAACAAATGATCTTCTTAACTTAACCTCTCTCTGTATGAAACAAAACTATTTCCGGTTTAATAACCGTTTCTATCTACAAAAAGAAGAGTTGGCTATGGGGTCCCCTCTAAGTCCCCTTATGGCGGACATTTTCATGGATAATTTCGAAAAATAACATATAGTTGTCAATAAAAATATCTTATACAGGTTGGATTGTGGCAGATTTACAACTTGAAATTTAAATATTTTTTAAACCGTTGCGTTATGGAGCGGGGGAGGGGTGGCATTCGACGATGCAATCATGCGGATTGTTTAGTAACGATATCGCAGTGGACTGGTGAGTAACGCGCGTTCGCAGTAGAATCGTGCTTTAAAAGTAACGATTCCTGTACCATTGCCCGTCGTCGATTTTGTACACGTTTTGATATTCAACGTTTAAGTGACGGACCAAGTGTTAATTTAATTAGAACGTGGGTGCAGAAGTTCCGAGCAACTGGTTCAACCCTAAACAACCCTCGGCCAGGCCCTAGCCGGACGTCAAGGACCAAAGAAAACATTCAACTTATTGAAAGCAGCGTACTGCAAAATCCACGCCAGTCCGTGCGCAAGAGAGCATCGTCTTTGGCACTACCAAAAACGACCGTACAGCGAATTTTAAGTAAGGACATGAAACTTTATCCATATAAGGTCCAATTGGTGCAGGCTCTTAAACCAGATGACTTCAAAGCGCGTAAGGAGTTCTGTGAAAACATGCTAAGCCGATTTCAAACTGTAAACACAATTTGGTTCAGTGACGAAGCACATTTTCATTTAAATGGGTTTGTCAACAAACAAAACTGCAGGTATTGGGCACCAAGAGGACAAAACCCGCGATTAAAGCAACAATAAGCCCTGCATAGCCCGAAAGTCACCGTTTGGGCAGCTTTATCAACGAATGGAATAATTGGGCCTTTTTTTTTTGAAAATTCCCGTGGAGCAACAGTAACCGTTGATGGTGCTGCTTACCGCCGCATGATAAACGAATATTTTTTAACGTAACTTCGAGGGCACAAGTCATACTGTTCACACATGTAGTTTCAACAAGATGGCGCCACAGCTCACACGACGATAGCCACCATGAGCTTACTACGCAAACAGTTCCCTAAAAAACTGATTAGACGATATGGTGACATCGTGTGGCCACCCAGGTCGCCAGATCTCAACCCTTTGGACTTTTTCCTGTGGGGGTATTTTAAGACAAAAGTCTAAAATAACAACCCATCAAA